GTTTTTTTTCCAGTACCGGGAATCAAACTCACAACCTTGTGCTTGCCAGGTAGGCGCTGTACCGCTGAGCTAAATCTCCAGCCCCCATCTAATTTTTTTTTAGTTCCTTATATATTTTAGATATTTTTCCTCTGTCTGAGGAGTGGCTGGCAAATTTTTTTCTCATTCCGTAGGTTTTCTCTTCACTCTGTTGACTGTTTTCTTTGTGGTGCAGAAGTTTTTTAATTTGATACAGTCCCATTAGTTGATTCTCGTTTCTTGTGCAGTTGGGGTTCTGTTCTGAAAGTCTGGGCCTCTCCCCACATCTTGAACAGTTTTGCCTGCTTAATCTTCTCACAGATTGTGTTTCTCTTCTAATACTTAGATCTTTGACCCATTTTGATATTAGCTTACCACATGGTGAGAGATAGGGGTCTAGATTCAGCCTCCTGCATGTGGAGAGCAAGTTTTCCCAGCACCATGTGTTAAAGAGTCTTGTCTTTTCTCCAGCTTGTGCTTTTTGTCGATCAAAAGGCTGAATGTGCCTGGGGCTGTTTCTGCGTCCTCTCCGCTGTCCCACTGATCCTCCCGTCTGTTTCTGCGCCCGTCCCATGCTGTTTTTAATCACTGTAGCTGTGTAACAGAACTCTCAGTCTGGCCTTGTGATGCCTCTTGCTTTGCTCTTGTTTTCCCAGGATGCCTTTTGCTGCTATTCTGGGTCTTCTGGTTCCATATGGATTTTTTTTTAAAGCGTTTCCAGGTGGAATGAATTTTAAGATTGTTTTCTCTAGTGCTACGAGGAATGCTGTTGGTATTTTGCTTGGGATTCCGTTACATCTGTGTATGAGTCTCGGTAATATGGCCATTCTGACAATGTTGGTTCTGCCTATCTAGGAACAGGGGACATCTTTCCATTTCCGGATGTCTTCTTTGGTCTCCTTTTGGGTAATTCTGTAGTTTTCATTATAGAGGTGTTTCACTTCTTTGATTAGGTTAATTCCTAAGTATTTACTTTTCTTTAAGCTGTTGTGAATGGTCCTGTTTTCCTAGTTTCTTTCTCAGTGGGTTCATTATTGTTGTGCAGAAACATGATTGATTTTTTCTGTGCACTGATTGTGTATCCTGAATTGTACTTTTTCTTTTCTTTGCTTTGCTTTTTTTTGAGACAGAGTCTTACTATACAGTCCAGGCAAGCTGGCCTTGAGCCCACTTTGTACCCCAGACTGGTCTCGAACTTGCTACGATCCTCCTGGCACAGCCTCCTGAGTGACTGGGATTACAGACATATACCACTGTGGCCAGCAGTAGAGCTGTTTCCTAAAAATACGCTAACTACACAGGGAAAGCAAAATTATGCCCTTTCCTACTAGTCCCACCCTCCTTATTTGTAGCATGAGCTGGGCCCGAGCCCGTTTGTGAGCTTCTGAGGCCCATCGTTACCCAGTGCCAGTCACAGAGGGCCCCTGCTGACCTGTCACTCTTCCTGTGCCCAAGGGGCAGGGCCCGTGGACTTGACCAGCCGCACACTTGGGAGTTCCTGTGTTGCCCAGGTCGCCTGGAGCAGAGGCCTGTGACTGCCTGCCACTGTCCCACACGCTTAGTCTCCTAGGTGGACTTAGAGTCCAGGTGGCCAGTGCCTCCCACCCCTCCATTCATTACGAACAAACTGCTGTGCTCCCATCCCAGTTGTACTGAATTCATGCGAATGGTTTGAGGGAGACTTGACATCTTTAAACTTCATCTTCCCACCCGGCCCCATGCACACGGTCTGTTTGTCTATTCACTTAGGTTTTACTTTATGTCCTTCATTCAATTTTTATAGTTTAAGCGTTCTTGTTAAATTTATTCCTAGGTGTGAGTCAGATTACCTTGCATCTCCACTCTAACTGCTGATGGCTAGTGGAGTAAGCTACAATGACGGCTGCTGCTTGTTTCACCATAGTCCTCTTTTCAGTACCAATGTTGTGCGGTTGGGTTTCTTAGACTCCGGGACCATCCCCCCAAGCTTCCCTCCTAGTTTACAAAATGCCATCCTATATTGCTTTCCTATTCTTTCTTGGTTTTGCTTCAGTGGTTCTCCTTCCTGTACATGTGTTTCAAGGCCTCTCTACCTGAAAATACCAAGAACATCTAAAACTCAGAATAAAATTAGAATTAAACCTAGGTGTGGCGATGCCCGCCTGTAATCCCAGCATCTGGGAAGCAGAGGCAGGAGGATCCGGGCTCCATAGTGAAGCTCTGTTCCCCATAAACAAACAAACAAAATCGAAATTAAGAAAGTTACAGTTAAAGGATCCAAAGCACCTGCCTGGCAAGCGCAAGGTCCTGAGTTTGATTCCCGCTCCCCCCGCAAAAAGTGTCCAGAGCTGCTTGCTACTAGCCCCTGAAGCACATTTGTACAGATTCGAGGAAGGTGCCCTATTTCCTGTCACTTTATCCTCATCTCGTGAGAAGCTTGTCATGATTAACTGATTCACGTAGTCCAACGTGTGACTGCTGAACAGTGTCCTCGCCTATCCGCATATGTCCACCTCTGCCAGGTTGCTGGGCCCACAGGAGGCGCCCGGGCCTGTGGGGCAGCAGGGACAGGCCTGTCCCTCTGCTTTCCAAGCCCAGTCCCCCAGTGGCGGCTCTCAGGTATCACTGCTCCCCACAGAGGGCGAACCCCAAGTATAACTGGGTCTCCCTCTTCCTGCCTCTCTTGGAACCTGGGGTCACAGCCCTGGCCCATCGGGAAGCCCCGTCCAGAGCCACTGAGGACCCTCCTCTTCCTCTCCGGAGTGGGCCGTGCTGTGAGCCTCGTCACCCGCTTCCTCCGAGGCACTGTCCCTCGCACCTCTGCCTGGCGTGCCCTGTCCTCTGGCCGCCACGCTGTGGAAGTCGCCATGGTGACACAATGTAGTGTGTGCATGTGACCAGCACAGGGCCCAGCATGTGACACATTAGCTTCCCTCCCTGTCTCTTCCCTTGAGCTTGCTCCAGGGGAGCTGCAGGACTGTGTGCCCGTGACACGGTGTGAGGATTTCCCTCTTCCCTTGTGTGGCCATTCCGCGGAGTTCTCGTATTTAGACGGGAATGTAGCACGTTTGTCTCCTGATAAGGAACATTTGAAAATACTGGAGGAGGAAAAAAACACAGCCTTGCAGCTCCAGCATGCCACCAACACAGGTGGCACTAGAGGCCCCGGGGCTGGCCCTGGAGGCCCCTTGCAGGAGAGCGGTGCGGCCGCGGTCCTCCGGCGGGGTCTGCCTGCTGCCTGGGCGGGCCGAGGGGGGAGGGGCCCTGCCCTGACAGCTGCCTTAAACAAACAACACACCACCAAGATCCATGTTCACTGCTGATGACAGAAAGGGCTTTGTGATGAAGGGTGAGTTTCCCAGTGTTTATTGGTTTAAAACCTTGACTTCATCTCGGCCACATTTGGTTGTCTTTTGCCTTTGTTCTTGGCCCACAGGAGTGGTCTTACTGGGCTGTAATCAGAACCAGCTTGTGAAACATTCTGGAATCAAGTTGGAGTTTTAAAATAAACACAGCTTTTGAGAACTCAAATGAAACCCGAAACAGAAGAGAGAGTAAACAAGAAAGAATGCCCTAGCACTCTGAACTGGACATGTCAGAGGCAGGAGCAGGGGAAACTGAGGAAGGCTGTGTACAGCAGGGCCACTCTGACGGGGAGCTGCCAGGGCAGGGGGTCGGGCACGGGGCTCCTTTGTCTCTGCCCAGCCTGGGGTCCCTGGTCAGAGCGGTGATCAGGCGGGTGCTGCGTGCACCAGTGATGGCCCCGGAAGGTCCCAGCTCTCCCACGTGTCCCTTCTCTCTCCAGCCCTTTCTAGCTCTTCCTCCCTGGGTTGCTGGGCAGCAAGGGCCGGGTACACAGCCAGAGCTTGCAGAGACACCCAACAGGCACAGCCATGTCGCCCAGCGCCCACCCCGCATGCCCTGCACGTTTCTGCCAGGTGGCGCCCGGGTTGGAGAGGATCAGAGGAGCTGCATTGCCGAATGGTTTCCAACTGCTGTGCTTCGTTTATTGAGTTGACGTAGGAAAGTGTAGGAGAGTATGCAGAGAGAGGAGCCGCTCCTCACCATGCTGCCCTCTGCACCCCTTCATCACAGGTTCCTTTTCCAGCTCCGCACTATAGAGAGCGCTCGAGGTCCTCGTCACGGCCCAGGGGTTTATGTTTGTAATCCTGTGAAAAGTGACTGCAATTGTAGTGAGTTAATTCTAATCTAGCACTTCCAGTGCAACCCATGGCATAAAGAAAGACTCAGTAATATATCCAGCATGGCAGGGAGTCAAGGGGGTCCTGGGTCCGGCCGCAGTGGTGATTATCCGGAACAAAGGCCTCCCACCTAGGGCCGAACCCGGATTTTATTCATTCGTGAAGAAGGGCATGGCTTGAGGATGAGTGACTGTGAGAGTGGCGGGAAGCAGCAGAGTGCCATGAGCTGGGCTAGGCAGGAGGCCTGAAATCCCCTCTGCAAACGCAGAGAGAAGGATCTGCAGAAAGAGTAACCTGCGTGACACCGTTGAGGTAGTTGAGCTAATGTTTTGGGGTCAGTGCTTCAGCTCTGATGAGAAGTGTTTGAAGCCCCAGGAAGTCATAGCCTCGATCTCAAGGCTCAGTCCCAGCTGACAGTGTGCAGCGTTGGAGCTTCATCCCACCTTGTCCCGGCTCACCCACGGGAACAACGGGGGTCCGGGGAAACACGCCTGCCGTCTTCAAACACTACCATCCGCACCTCACGGGACGGATGTGCATGGCTTAAAGCCAGTCGAAGGGATAAGGAAGAGTCCCAGCCAGCTCTGCGCACATCAGTACAAGGAAATAGGGTCGGGGTCAGCCATGATGGAGACCGTCGCTCCTCCTGCGAGGAGAGTCGCCCAGGCGGTCTGCACACTCCAGTGCCTCTAATTGTTTGCCCTGAAGAATTCCTCCCTCTCTGCCCGCCTGTCCGGCTGCTGCCTTCCCGTGCCGCTCTTCCCGCGCCCACCTGCCTTCTCTGTGTTGCACCCCTCGCAGACCCCGACCCCTGGTGGCCCTACAGCGGGGAGCACAATGCGTCCGAGCCCGTCCCTGCAGACTGCGTCGTCTGCGCCCACGCTCTGCCCCTCGAGGTGATGCTCCCGGAGGACACCCCGAGGATGTTTGACCGCCTCCGGCAGCTGGTGATCAAGGTAAGGAGGTGCTCGCCGCCCCCACTGCGCGGTTCCCGCTCCTGAATGGGTCGCGGGGAGTCTGTGCCTTTGTTTTGCTTTTGCACCAAGACTGGGCGGCCTCTGCGGACAGAGGAGATCCACCGCTTCCTGTGCCAGTACCCGGAGGCGACGGAAGGCTTCCCCGAAGGGGTTTTCACCCAGTGGCGGAGCTGCTTTCCCCAGCGGTGGTTCCCGTTTCCTTACCCGTGGTGAGTGCGCCAGGGTCAGGCCCGTGCTTAGACCAGGGGTCACACCGGGGAGAGCCGTCACCCAGTGCGCCACGTGACAGCCCTGTGTCCACCGATGGTCGGGAGAGAGGGAAGGACAGAGGGGACGGTGGAGGAGGGGGCCCATCGGGGGAGCCGGAGACGGCCCGCGGCAAGTCTGGCGCGGTGCTCAGCACGCTCCTGCCCGGACCTGGTGTCTTCTCCGGCCTCCTGTGCCCTAGGCCTGGTCTGCTCCGCTTCTTGGGGCTGAGGTCGCCTTCCAGCAGGAAAAGCCAGCTGCCATCACATAACCAAGAAGTCAATTCACTTTTTCAAGTTTTATGTTGGATAATTCCTGAATACTTCCTGTTCATCAAGTGTGCCACTGGTCTTTTCCTTTTTTATTCTTTGGTACCGCGAACCAAACTCAGGACCTTGTGCTTGCCAGGCAGGCGCTTGTGCCACTGAGCTACATCCCTGGCCTGTGCCATTTATTTTCATGCTGGAACATGCGCAGTATCACAAGTAATGGGGCTTCGCACCGTGCGTCTCAGGGCCGGGGTCAGGGCTTAGAGCTCAGGGCTCAGGGCTCAGGTCCCTCCCCCTCTCTCCTCTCTCTTCGCCTCTCTTTCTGGCCTGCCTCACTGCAGTCTGTCTTCCAACCGAGAGAGGGAATGGTTGCTTCTTTTCCTCCCTCTATTATTTCCACTGGGCCTTAGAACATTGCCCGCACATACAGCCAGCAGTGGGGCTCGGCGTGCAGGTCAGCCTTGATGTGCAGAGCTCGCAGCCCCTCACAGCGCCCTGGTGCTCGGTGTCTGCCCCGCATAGCGTCCCCGCACTTGCCAGGAGCCCTGTCCGCCCGCCAGTGGAGAGGCTGTCACCTGTTCTGGTGACACTGTTCTGTTTCATGCTTTTACAGGAGGAGACCTCTGAACAGATCACAAATTTTACATGAACTTTTTCCTGTTTTTACACACCTCTCATTTCCGAAAGATGCCTCCTTAAAGAAGTGCTTCCTGCTTCAGCCGGAACCTGTTGTGGGGAGAAAGGTAGGGCATTTCTAGAGGACTTGGATCTAGAATTTTCCTCACTGGGGTCCTAGAGTGACGTAATCCAGCCCATCCCTGCATCAGTGTCAAGGGTGCACTGAGGGACGCCACGCCCTCCAGGGTTCTCCCCTGCCACTGCTAGCCGGGGACCTGCAGTGCCCCCACCCCGTGAGGAAGGTAGGTCCCCAGGCTTTTTGTTTTTGTTTTTGTTTTTCTCCGGTACCGGGAACCGAACTCATGACTTTGCGCTTGCCAGGCAGGCGCTTTGCCGCTGAGCTAAATCCCCAGCCCAAGCTAAATCCCCAGCCCGGTCCCCAGGCTTTTGAAAGCCTATTTCGCCAGCCTGTTGCCTCCTGTCACCCTTGGGGCCAGGCTACCTCTCTGCATCCAAGGGGGTGGGGCTGTCACGTCTCTCGGGACTCAAGTGTGCAATTTGTGTGGCTTCCTCACCTCAAATCGGGATGCAGACGCGTTCCACATAAAAGTGATACACAAGCCACTGTCCTCCTCTGAAACATCGCAGAGAAGATGCTACCGGCCATTCATGTTGGCAGAAACAACAAACTTGGCCCTTGTAGAGCACATATTAATCCCTGAATAGTCATGTGGCAAACCTGACAGTTTCTAAAATTCAGTGGCCTTCTGGAAACCACAATCCAAGAGAAACACAAACAAAACAGAAGGATGAAAGTGTGGCTTAAAAATTACATCTTTAGCTGGAAATGGTGGCAAATGCCTGTAATCTCAGCACTCAGGAGGGCTGAAGCAAGAAGACTGGCCAGCCTAGGCTACGTAGTGAGACCCTGTCTCAGAGTAATAAATAAATAAATAGTGCAGCCTCTTGAAACAAATAAAATATAACTTTGTAATTGAAAAGGTATGTAGCTCAGTGGGAAAGCACATGCTTAGCATGTGTAAGACCCTAGGATTGATCCCCAGCATCCCAAAAATGCATATAAAAGAACTAAACCAAAATACTATTAACTTTTCCTTTATATGCTTACCCTCTTTATCCCATACAGAAACCTTGCATTTATTATTCGATAATATTTTTGCTAAGCAGAGCTGGGCACAGTTGTGCACACCTGCAATCCTAGCACTCAGAAGGCTGAGGCAGGAGGTTGCCGTGAGTTCGAGGCCAGCCTGAACTACATAGTGAGACCCTGTCTCAAAAAAACAAAAAGTTTTGTTTTGTTTTGTTTTCTGCTAAGCAAATACTAAGGATTTGCTTTCCCACAAAATAAAAAAGAAGTAAAACTCACATTGCTACTGAGCACAAGTTTTTACTTCCCCAAAGGTAATGCAGCTAATAAGCAAACAAGAAAAAAGAAAGCGGTCAGCTGTAGATGAGCAGGGCGTCAATGAACGAGCCGATTCCTTCACTCTCTAGACGGGGGAACTGAGCCCCAGAGAGACTAGGTGATGCATCCCCCATCACAGAGCAGGGTAATGGGACACTGCCAGCTGCCCCAGCCCCGCAAACGGCACAGACTCCAGGTGAAGTGGGTGGCACAGGCGTGGGGCCGGGGATGGCAGCCCGGGGATGCAAAGGCCCCGCCCTGCATGCTGTTGCGCCTCTCCCGGCCAGGGGACAGAGAGGCCGCCCTGTCTCTGTCTGTTTGCCTCCTCTCTGACCTGCTCCTCTGGGGCATCCTCCCGAGGAAGGGTTTGAGCCTGGGTTTGTGTGAACGAATGAGGAGTTTTCTTCTTCAAAAGGTGTTGCGCTGAGGGTGCGGCCTACGGTAGAGCCACTCTTAGCGTGCACGAGGCTCTGGGTCCCATCCCCAGGACCGCCACGAGATTTTTTTTTTTAATTTCCCAAATTGTGACCCTGTCCCAACACTGGGCTGTAACTTCAATCTCCTAATGCTCTTACTTAGCGCCACATCTGCTGAACCGTGTGGAAGGAATTTAAAAGCCATAAAAACAATCATCTTTGTCTGGAAGCCGGAGCTCACGCCCGCCAGCAGCAGCAGCGGGAGGTGCCGGCCCTGGCTCCGTCTCTGCGGCCGTTTGTCCTGCTGTTCCTGGCCGCAGCTCGGGCCTCCTATGAGTTCATCTTCCTGACTGTGATACAATGCTGGGTGCGGGCCTTTATCTTCGTCTCCGTTCTCCCACTTGGATATTGAAGTCAGCTTCCCAGACTGCTCAACGCCCAGGCGCTGGCCAGAGGCCTGAGCAACCGTCCCTCAGACGCTTGCCGGAGCCCTCCCGCTGTGCGGGGCTCCCAGGCTGCCCTGGAAGGGGAGCGGCCTGCGGAGCAGAAGTCCTGCGAGTCTGCCTTCTCGGAGCCCTGCGTCCCGCCCCCGCCAGAGCTCTCCTTCCCCCCAGCTGCCTCAACCCGCGCTGGCACCCACATCCCTGCCCCTGGCCGGGGAGAGCCGCATGTCTTTGGGTCCTGGGTCCCAAGACAGCTTGTGGGATGGAAGATAGGAGATGGGGCGGAGTCCCTAAGAGCTCTGGGCCAGCAAGCGTGGACTGCTGAGGAGGATGTGGGCGACTCTCCTTAAATGAGGAGCAGTTGTCTCCATTTTGGCTGAGCCTGACCCTCTTTCCATGTACTGATCTGGGTTTTTGTTTGTTTGTTTGTTTTGAGACAGTGTCTCATTATGCAGTTCAGGCTGGCCTTGAGCTCACTTGTTAGTCCAGACTGGTCTCGAACTCACAAGTGTCCTCCTGCCTCAAGCCTCCCAAGTGCTGGGATTACAGGTGTGCACCACCACACCCGGTGTGTTTTGTTTTTTTTTGTTTGTTTTGATATCGAGAATTGAACTCAGGATCTTGGCTTGCCAAGCAGGCCCTTGTGCTGCTGAGCTATATCCCTGGCCCTGTATTGATATGCACAGAGCTGGCTAGGACCCTTTCCTTCTCCCTTCAGTTGGCTTTAAGCAATGCTTATCAGCCAGCCCAGGGGCTGATGGTAGTCTTTGGAGATGGCAGGTGTGTTTCCCCAGACCCCTGTTGCTCCCTCGAGTGAGCAGGGGTGAGGCGGGGTGTGTGAGCCAAAGCTCCATACTGTGATCTGGGATGGAGCTTCAAGATAGAGGCTGTGACTTCCTGGGGTTTCAAAGATTACTCATCAGAGCTGAAGCACCAAGCTCAAAACACTAGATACTATCTCAGTTGTGTCACACAGGTTTCTCTTTCTGCAGATCCTTGTCTCTGCATTTGCAGAGGGGATTTCAGGCCTCCTACCTAGCCCAGCTCATGGCACTCCGCTACTTCCCGCCACTCTCACAGTCACTCATCCTCAAGCCACTCCTTTCTTCACGAATGAATAAAATTAGGGTTCATTCCTGGGTGGAGGCCTTTGTTCCAGATAGCCATCACTGTGGCTGGACTCAGGACCCCCTTGACTTCCCAGCGTGTTGGATATGTTATTGTGTCTTTTATTTACGCCATGGGTTGCCCTGGAAGTGGTAGATTAGAATTAACTCATTACAGTTGCAGTAACTTTTCCACGGGATTAGGAGGACCAGGAAGTGCTCTTATAGGCTGCCCGGCCTGCTTCCCACGCCCACAGGCGCCAGGGCTGTGTCTTTCTGTTCACCGCAGGAGTAGAGGGATCACCTGTCTCCTGCCGGGCCTGTTGAAAGAGGGAAACATACACTTCTTTGGGGGGCTTCTGGGGCCTTTTTAAGACTGGATACCAGGGTGTAGGCCTGTACGAGCTCCCGCCCCCTGCAGGCCAGCTCCACACCTCCTGCTGTCACCGCAGCAGCCAGGGAAGTGGCTCTACTGCTGCAGTGGAAGCAGAATCGTGGCCAAGGTTGCACACAGGGCAGAGGGGACCAAAGCCCAAGGCTCCAGAGACCTTAGAGTGGAGAAGAAAAACCAGACCTGGCTGGGGCGTCTGCCTGGTGACCCCTGCTTTAGAGGGCAGGAGGTAGGGGAAGACGCCCTGTGAGACCACTTCTGCCCTGTCCCTGTTCCCCACTGTGGGAGACCCCGAGCACACAGCTCCTCCCCGGGCGCAGAGCAGGTGGCACCAGTACCTGTCGCTGACTCTGTCTCTCTGGACAGGCACATGTCCTGGGGGGCTCCTCTGTCCTCAGACTCTCAGGCCAGGCTGCTGTCCTTAGTTTTAATTAGTAGCATGGCAGATCTGCTTGGGCAGAGAGCGCAGACCTGAACTCGCTGCTGTGCGATTCTCGTCAGAAGGCTCATGCGAGGGGCAGACCTCCATGGAGGAGCCCAGAGGACGCCAGACCCTCTGCGTAGCTGCAATGCCCACATCAAACCAGACCCTGCGAAGACCGTATTCTGAGACCCCTGCCTATTGGTCTCTGCTGCACCTCCTTTTGTGAAACCGCAGCGAGAGTAGCTTGGTGGCAGACCACTTACCGTGTGTGCTCCAGGCTCGGGGTCCCAGCCCCAGCTTCCAGAGCCAAAAATTGCAATAAAATATTTGGCCTTTGACCACCTGTGAAGCTGCGGCTCAGAATAGCTGTAGATTATGAAGCCTGCGGGAAGCTGCCCCAGGACTGATGTTGAGGCTGCTGCCCAGTAGATCCCACAGTCTCTTAGAAGCACCCACGAAGAGATTCTGCCTAGGTCTCAGTACCAGGAGAGACCCTGCTCAGGAGGAACTGGCCCTGCTTTTCTCTCTGCGGAGGCTGCTGGGAACCCAGAGCGCATGTGGGAGGGTTCTGGTACCCATGCCCCAAGTTTTACCCTGTTTGTTTTTCCTCCCTGTCCCCGTCCTTGTTCTCCCTCCAGATGCATAAGGTGCACGACCTGTTTGCAGTCGGCAGCGGTGAGGCCATGCTGCAGCTCATCCCTCCCTTCCACTGCCGGAGACACTGTCAGTCCGTGGCCGTGCCGGTAGAGGCAGGGGACATCGGTATGTAGGGTCCCAAGAGGGGCAGGGACTCTGGAGGCATCTGTTCGGTTGGGTTGGGTTGGGTTGGGTTTTTTACAATAGGGTTTTGCTGCGCAGTCCAGGCTGGCCTTGAACTCACTATGTAGCCCAGGCTGGTCTCGAACTTGCAACAATCCTCCTGCCTCAGCCTTCGGAGTGCGAGGATCACAGGTACATGCCACCACACCCAGCTAAGTTTTTAACTCAGAAAATATTCAAAGCAGCAAATACTGCCTTCATGAAAACAGCTTTTTTTTTTTTTTTTTTTTTTTCCTTTTCACAATATTCCTTAAACATCCAAAGATTTTCAAATTTTTGGTACCAGGGATTGAACTCAGGACCTTGTGCATGCTAGGCAGGCGCTTATGCCACTGAGCTATATCCCCAGCCCAAAAATAGCATTCTTTTATTAACAGGGTTGATATATCTGTGCTTAGAAATAAAACAACTGATGTAGCGGAGAGAAAAACCTTTCATCTACAACACTGCGATATAGACACTTCCCGTCAGAAGGGATTTTGGAAAGTATTTAGACGGATTCCTAGTTTTACAGAGGAGGAGGTCGAGGCCCAGAGAGCACATTAGTCAATGGGACGTCAGGCCTGCTGTCTGCCTGAGCCGGGGGTGGGACAAGCCAAGACTGGAGGAACCCTTTCTGGACCTGCACTGCTAATCAAAGAATGCCAAGCGGTGTGAAGGGCAGGAGTCCCAGAAGGAAATGGTACCTCCGTGTGGGTCCAGCGGTCTCAGCACAGCCTCACGCTGATGACAGCCTTCTCCCAGTGTTTTCCTGCTGACACGCATCCTGCGCCTTGTACCCTAAAAACCAGTGCTGCAGAAGCAGGTTTGCCCCAGCCACTGGCAGCAGCAGTCACTGACCTCAGCCCCCCGGTACAAGTGGGTACATGGACGGGCACCACCCTGAACCCTCCTCACACTTCCTGCCTCGCTGGGCGAGGCCTGGGGAACCCGGCAGAGCCCAGACCAGTTTTCCAGTTGATTTGTTTGCGCTTCAGCCACTCAGGAGACCCAGAATTCCTAGAAACCTCTCCCTTCTTTGTGGATAGGGAGCAGACTGCAGACTGTGCCAAGTTTTGGTCCAGGTTACATAACTTACGTCAATTTAGGAATGAAAAATAAAATTCACGCGCACATTTTAGAAGGGGTCTGGCAGCAGTCCGAGGAGCTCTGAGCCTCAAAGCCCATTGCAGATAGAGCCCCAGCGGCTCAGACACAGAGCCCGTTCCCCGTGGCTGGGGTGCTGGCCGGGTGGAAGGCACCCTGTGCGCAGCGTCTGCAGTCAGCACAGGACGGGGTGGCGAGGGGACGGAGGTGGAGAAGTGGCGAGCAGCTTGGGAGAAGAGCGAGGGAAGCAGGAGAGAGCAGCGGCAGCTAAAGCAGCGGCGGGGACAGAGCCACGGCCGCAGGCGCCACTGCGGCTGTGACAGACGAGGACAGGAAGGCGGGCCTCGTGCGGGGAAGGAAACAAGGGTCTGCACGGCAGTGGCGTTTCTGGCCCCTGAGACCTCAGAATGGCCCCGTGACAGGCTCCCATGGTGCTGCGGAGACAGACCAGGAAACCTGGGACTGGAGGGGGGTACCCAGGCCAGGTGCCGCATCTGCTGCCCATACAGCACAGTGCCACTTTGAGTCCTGTCGCATGTCCCCACCTCAGGACAGAGGCACCGCCGGCTCTGTAAACCTTGCTGTCCAGAGATGCTTTCTCTTGGGGTTATTGTGTTGTGGTGCAGAGAAACAGTCTGAGATCCACTCTCAGTTCCTGAGCACCCGAGACAGTATTGCCAGCCTCGGACACGGATGCTTAGCACGCTCAGGAGATGGTGGTTTTCCTGTCCCTCGAGAGAGGTCGCAGTGAGCGGTGCTGTGTTGGACAGCGATGGCGGTGACCAGCCTGAGCCCTATCACCCTCAAGAAGGCCGAGTTCCAGGCTTCCTGGTGGCCCATCACCCTCCCCCACCCCACAGACTGCAGTGACAGAGGCCCACATTCCCTAGGCGAGGCTTCAGTTGCCTGGGGCCCCAGGGATGGGCACTGGAGCCTTGGGTACCCAGGGTTCTTGGGTTGGCAGGCTCAGGGCAGTGCCAGCCTTGGGGTTCTCAGTGCAGGTCGGAAGGCCTCCCAGGAGCCTGGTGGTTGTCACACCGACTTCACTGGGGAATCCTGTCTTTGGAATATCTGATAGGACGCTACTGGTCGAGGAACCCACTTTGAGAATTGTGGCTTTCAGTTTATCAGGACACGCGATGAGGACCTGTGTCTGAACAGGGGCTCCTGCTCCCCCTCAGAACCCATTCTACCTTGCTCAGACCCTTGGGATCAGGCTGAATGTTGAGGGCCACCACCAGCCCTCCCTGTGAACCTGCCGAGCCTGCTTTACACTGCCCGGGGCAGGGCGCGGGGAGAGCATTTGGGTTGGAAGTGGTGCCAGCTGCTGTCAGGTTGGCCAGGAGTAGTGACGGAACTGCCGTGCAGGAGGGGCAGGAGGAGCTCCCAGACCTGCCGTTGGCTCACCCTGGCCCCTGTGGTGTGTGCTCCGAGGCCGGCCGTGTCAGGCTCTGCCACTGACGGGCTTTCCTGTTGCTGTTTCCCTCCAAGGCTACACGAGCGCTGCCCACTGGAAGGCCTACATCATCGCCAGAGGGGTCCAGCCTTTGGTCATCTGCGATGGAACCACGCTCTCAGAACTATAGGCAACAGAGCTACCTACTAGAACAACTTTGAGACCCGAAAGCCAGTTAAAAGGAGAAATAAAAACAGACAATGAAACCACTTTCCAGGGCTTGGTCGCTTAGTTGCCTGCCCTTTCCATGCATGCGTGAGCCAGCGCGTGCTGGAGGTGCCGACCCTGCCCCTGCCCGCTACCCCAGACGGACTGGAGGACTCAGGCCCGGCTGCTCGGCCGGGACGTTGCAGCGCCTGCCTGTGAGAAACTGGGCTCTTCCAGACCCACGGGCACTGCCAGGTGCTGCGACCAGAGCCTCCCTTCAGCAGGTGGATCTGCCGGTCCGCTGTCACCCTGGCCACTTCACCCTAGGCTTCTTGGAAAGCCCCGGCTGATGAAAGAAATCAAGTCACTGCAGTGTATAGTTTCTGAAGAATGGAATTAGAGCCAATGAAAAACATCAAATAACCCTGAGTCACACTTAAGAACATCTCCTGCCTGGCCGTGGCTCTAGGAGTCTGGGTGGTGCCGCCGGGCGGGAGCGACTGCATTGCTGACAGGAATCCCCTGGGCTGCTGGTAACGCTCCTCTGCCTTCTCGCCTTGGTCCTGCGTGGCCCCCGCCCCATCTGGTTTGGCTGCGCTCGACCATCCCTCCCTGTTCGGTCCAGAGCCCCTTGTACGGAGGCGGCCCCCACGTCAGCGTGGCCTGCAGAAGGGGTGCATTAGAGGAGCTAGCCCGGGAGAGGCGCCTCTCTGGGTTTGACCTGAGGCTCTGACTTTCGGCAGGACGCCTTGCAGCTGTGTCAGAGCTGATGCCATGCGCCGCAGTGTTTCCAGCCAATCTGCGCTCCTCTGCCCCCCGCCGCCCCGGGTGCTGGGAGACGAGGGGAGGAGCTCTTACGTTTTTGTGGAAAGCTGTGTTATGGTCAGGTGATTTGCCACGCTGACTGTCCTCCCCACTCCAAGTGCTGTTTGTGTCTGTGAATCAGATGGCGTGAAGAAGGGATCCCTTCCCTTCCCTGTTCCTTTCTCCTTCGTTGGCTGTGGCTACCTGGCTACTGGTCACACCTCCTCGGAGGGGAAGGGCAGCCAGGGCACACCATGGCCTCTGGTCCAGGCTGCAGGGACCGCGTGGAGGCACGGTGGGTGGAGGCGGGTGGTGTTGAGGGGAGGTGGCGGTGACCTTTGGGAGGTCTGCATCCTTGGGGAGCCCCTACCCCTTCTCCCAGGCCCCTGCATATAGCGTGAACATTGAGCACTTGAATGGCCTCTGTGTGGCTTTGCAGAGACAAACAGTTCGCAGGGCTCAGGTGGGAACACTCAGAGCCTCCTCTGGCTTAAATGAAACCTGGGTGAGCTGTGCCTGAGGGCATCCTCGGGGGAGGAGCCAGCCCCTTGTGTAGATGGACGGAGAAGAAAGCACACTTCACGTATGTATGAGAGACGCCGCTAAGCAGCTGTGATTTCAGAGGTTTTAAATCCAAGGGATCAACCAGAGACAGCTTCTCCAAGTACTGAGCTACTGCTGTGTCCCTCCCCAGCTGCGTGCAGGACAGCAGGTGACACGGGTGCAGCCCTCAAAGGCCTCAGAGTTAAGGAGAGGGAGTTTCCCAAGGGCCTTAGACTCAGGCTGTTTTCCTGAGGACCCAGCTCAGGACTGCTCAGTGGTGGAGCATGAACACAGTCCTGGGTTTTATCTCCCCACTGAAGAAAAAAAGGCTAAAGGGCAAAGTGTATGTTTCGTAATTTTATCAGTTTTTTAAGAATGTATGCTGTTAGCCAGACATGGTGGCACATAGCTGTAATCCCAGCACTCAGAAGGCTGAGGCAGGAGAGTTGCGGTGAGTTTGAAGTAAGCCTGGGTTACACTGCAAGACCCTGTCTCCAAAAAAACAAACCCAAAAAACAAAACACTGACTAGAGCTGGCTTTTTTTTTTTTTTCCTATTTTAGCCAAAGAAGGACTGTAGCTCAGCAACACAGCGCTTACCTGGCAAGCACAAGGTCCTGAGTGTGATTTTCAGCACCAAAAAAAAAAAGGGCGGGGGACTTGGGCTTAAAGCTGGGATTCATTGGGAGGGAGTGGCTGGGACATGAGGGAGACAAACAGAAACATGGGTTATCTTGGTGAGTGTCGCTGTGCAGACTCACCCTGTCCCGACCCAGTCTGTGGTGATAAGAGTGCCTCTCACTCTGGCCCCAGAAGCGCTGACCCACCCTGTCCTGTCGGGCCGCTGCCTGGCGGGTGGGATGAGGAGCGGGCGGAGCCCTAAGCTCAGGCCTCCTCAGCCCTCTCGTGGTCCCCCTCAACCGAGTGGCACATGGGGGGCCCATCCCAAACCTTCCTGCTGCAATCAAGGACCCAGACCGACAGTCTGTGCACACACACGCACGTGCACACGGAAAAGCTGATGCTTGAGAGCTGTTTTGTTTCTGTGACTGCCTCGCCTCTTCCCATTTTCCTTCGGCCTTGCATACCCTAACTATCCGTAGTATTTCCGCTGAAAACTGCGCAGTGAGAAACGCCTGACATAGCCACCAGTCACACAGGCAGCGCCTCTGTAGTTACCCAAGGCTTTTGGGAGGGCACAGTGGGGTCCCCGGCAGCTCACCCGGGCCTGGAGACGGCACAGGGCCTGCTGCATGGTGGTCTTGGGGAGGTGGGCTGCAGGACAAGGAGGTTGGGCACAAGCGCGTGACAAGAAGCAGCCCCTGCCCTGCTGCAGTGAGGACAAAGCCACCGGGCTCCAGTGTGGAGCGGGGGATGGCTCACAAGTCTGGAGTGCTTACCTCAATATCCACCTGTAGGTTTTTGGGAGTCTGGGGGATTTTTTTGGTTGTTTTGGTGGGGGGGTTTGAGACAAGATCTCACTATATAGTTTAGGCTAGTTTTGAAGCTGGCCTTGAACTCCCAGAGATCCTCCTGCCTCAGCCTCCTGAGTGCTGGGATTACAGGCTTGTGCCACCGCTCCAGGCTCCACCTGTAGGTTAGCAGGCTGTTTTATCACAGCTCGGAAGCACCTACTGTCCACAGCCTGAAGTCTGCAGCAGCCAGGCCCCGTGCTGCGTGGATGCCACGTCTCTTCTGGCCTAGGAGAAGTGAGAAGCAAGACGCAGCCGCACCCCACCCTCAGGGTGGGACAGGAGGGAGCAGATAGCTGTGGTTTATGAAAACAGAAACCTGCCGGCTTGAAATACAAAGCCGTGTGCAAAATGGGCAGATTTGGGCTCGTTTCCTCTGAGGAAGGAAAAGCAATATGAGTCCTAGGCAGTTCCAGTTTAGCAAGTGTCTCCAATGCATCTGCATGATGCCCTTGACCGCCTCCCCCCGGGTAAGATAAGCAGCAGCTCCTTGTTGGTCATAGGAAGAAACTCAGGTGTAGAGCAGGTTCGTGGCCTCGGAACTCCGCTGCAGCGCCCGTGGGGCTGCAGGTCTCACGGCCCAGCTGTGCCCAGCATGTGGGGGAGCGACCAGGAGCTCAGCAGGGTCTGTTTGCAAAGCTCTTGCGCAGACGTGGAGGAGGAAAACACTCACCATATGATTTTTATAAAAATGCTTTCACTTTCCCCTCCCATCTGAGCGTGGCTGGAACACAGCTGTATCCAGCGTTTTCCTGTCGCCGCGTGGTTCCAGATGTGTGACCCGGGGAGGGGCTCTGCCCGATTCCAGTTGTGGTCCCCTCAGAGTTACGTCACTTGTTTTTCAGTTCTGTTTTCTGTTCCCTTCTTCCAGAATCCAGTTTCGGCCCCCGGATAGGTGCGATTCTTATCAGCCAGCTCTCAAGCTCCTTAGCCACAGGTGACGGCGTATCTCCGCGGAGTCTGGGATGAGTCCGCGCCGTCCCCGTGCTTCCGCAGTGAATGTCTAGAACCCACAGCGAAGTTTGCTTGCCATCTTGTCTGGTGGGAGGAGGCCGGGCCACAGGAGGGAAAGCTGCATCCAGGGGTCACATGGCGAGGGTCACTTGTGCACCCTTTGGAAGTCGGGTGGTGGGCAGAGGGGTCTTTTGGGCTCTCAAGCTCTTCTAGCAGTGGCGGAAATGCCCAGATGCACAAGTCCCACACTCACTGTCTTTCGGCAAAATGCAAGAGAGGAGCAGGTCAGAGACTTGCTTTACCATGGCCCTGCAGGTTGAGATTCTGCCCAAGCTTGGACCTGAGGATGGGTCCAGAGCCAGCGCAGGTCAGGGTGGGAGGTTAGAAAGTCAAGGCAAAGCCAGGCGTGGCGGCACCTGCGTGTAATCTCAGCACCCGAGAGGCTGAGGCAGGAGGACTGCTGGGAGTTCAAGGCCAGCCTGGGCTACATAGCAAGACCCTGTCTCAAAGAACAAAAAGTCAGACTGACTGTGGGAACAGTCCCGTAGCAAGGGTGGAACAGGGCCCGTGGGAAGGCACCAGTCCCCAGCAACCTTCGGATCCCTGCCCCCCTCACTCTGCAGCCTCTCACACAGGAGCATGCTGGGGACACGGGCGGTGTCCTCCCGCCGGGGCACCCTGGGCACAGGGTGACTTTGAGTGCTGGCCCGCAGGATCGACCTTCTGGCCAGCTGCTCTGCTCTCCAGCCCCGCTTGCCCTGTACCACATAACTCAGGCATGAGCGCTAACTACATCTGTCATTTTCCCCTCTGGAGACTGAAATGTCCAGCCGTTTCCCAGCCAGCGGGGAGACAGCGTGTTTATTATGTAAGCCGGCAGAGGCCTGGAGCTGGAGACCTTCCGCCTCCGCGTGGTGCTGTCAGGCAGGCAGCGGTCACTGGCCCAGGAGGGAGCAGAGCTGGAAGAGGGGGGCCCCGACTGGGTTCTGAGCTGTGAGCAGAAATGGGGGCATTGGGACACCGCTTTGTGCCAGGCTTCGTGTACCTGGCTTTGGGGTGGGTGGGGTCGCCCCGGGCAGCCGCGTCCCACTCCACGCCTCCCTGCAGGCCGCTGAGGTGGCATTCTTGGCGATCCTAGCCCTGCTAGTCCTCAAGCTCACCCTCCACTCTCCTTTTCTACCTCCACCTGCATTCTCAGGACAGCAGCCGGGGACCAGCTCGGCCCGGTGAGCAAAGAACAGGCGACACCGGCCCCAGCCACAGGTTCTATTCACATGTGTGTGCAGGTACAGCGTGTGGACAGGAAGTCGGCACCTTGTGAGAATGTACGTAAAGCCGGGGATTTAGCTCAGCGGCACAGCGCCTGCCTGGCAAGCCCAGGGTCCTGAGTTCGATTCCCGGTACCAAAAAAAAACAAGAAAAAAGTCAAGAATGTACGTAAAGTCAAGTTTCACATAATGGGCATTTGTACTTTCTGCAATTAAAAATGCATATGTTGGTAAGAACGCCCTGATTCTTGGTGTCGTTCTGTAACATCCAGTCTTGTCTTATTTACTGTCCACCCTCAGGCAGGAGACTTCTGGCCACTTCCTGCTCAGGGCACAGGTCTGGGGGCCTTGGTTCTGACAGGAGGGTGGCCAGGCTCACTCCAGCTGCCACCAGGCAGCGGGCCACTCAGCGCGCAGTAGCTCACTGTGGATTGGGTTCCGGTCGTTTCTGTGTGTCTGTATTTGCTTTTCTTTGTGATTTCTGTGTTTTGTGTGCACATAGTTTTGTGTCAATGTATAAACATTGTCTAATGTCCTGGGTCATTTTCCCTCTCCCTCTGGCCGGGTGAATGTTATGTCTACATAGCATGCCCACTGTGCATCTTTCCGTAATAAATATTCAGCTGTTCTCTTAGTGGTCATGAGTCACAGTTCGTAAATTGATTATTTGGATTATAAACTAAGAAGCCTGGAGCTCATTTTTAAAATACATATTTTACTGGGCGTGGTGGCGCATGCCTGTAATCCCAGCACTCAGGAGGCTGAGGCAGGAGGATCATTGGGAGTTTGCGACCAGCCTGGGCTACAAAGTCAGCTCAAGGCCAGCCTGAACTGCATAGTGAGACCCTGTCTCAAAAAAGACTAATTAATTAATTA